GAAGAAGAGTGATGTCCTGAACACCTTCAACTCTCACCAACATCACTAGTTTGCAGCTGAATATAAAATAATGAAGAGCAACTTTCAGGAACTCCTCTGCACCAACAGAATCAGGGTAAATTAGCAGCTGATGTAAAGCTGGTCTAAATCAAGGCCAAGTCATGCAGAATTGGTACACCACTGGTTGGGCTGTGAAGTGACACATCATCTTAAACTCCCTTTGAACAACAGTTTGCTGTAATTTTGAAGGAGTGTTGCTTCCCAGTAGTAGGCTGTACCACTGCAAGATTAAGTCATAGATGACAGAGCTCTCCCTTTAGACAAAAATGTCACCAATATGGCAAAATTTACAACACCAAATAGAAACGTGTGTTCAAGTTTGAAGTGGTCTCAAAAATGCAGTGAAACAGTGAAAACTTGTATTTTCCACTTCAGACATTTTATTGAATCATTTTCTGGTATTTTGCACCTTTTCTCAAGAAATCAGAAATATTCTGTGGTCTGTTCCTGGTGTTGAATTTCACGTGCTGGATCATGGAATATTATTAATATTATTTATACACTGGTAATGCCTCTTTATACAGTATTTTTTGCTTAAGTGGAAATGTGTGCTGTAAGCTGAGTCAAAACCATTTTCCTGTCATAAAAAGGTCTCTTGCTGACTACTGGGGAAGTGGAGGGCAATTCCAGTAACCTATCCTTTCATGGTGAAAGGGAAGTCAGGTAGAGAAGAGATATTAGGAGTTCAAATTTCTTTAATCTCACTAGTCCTGTACACTGCCTTTTTCTTCAACCTTATGCTGCTTGAGAAACCTGTTTCACATTGACAACCCTTGGTGTAGCTTTTCTATGCAACCTCCGCCAAAATTCTTAACTCCATTTGCATTTGCATTTTAATTTATCTTGCCTTTTAGCAATGTAGGTGATGCCTTAGGCTGTGGGAGCAATGAATGCAAACCCACAACTGGGCAGCCCGACTCTGTACCCTCTATTATGTACTTCAAAATTAAGACTTGCTTGTGCTACAGCCCCCACCTGTGGATGATCAGAGGTGGTCCTTGGCAAGCAGCTGCACCTTTATTTCAGTTTCCTTACAGAAACTCCAGGCTGGCTTTTATAAGTGACTGATTTTTATCCTCACCCCCGAGACAGCAAAATTCAGTTTTGCCTGCACCACTAAGAATCCTTGAGCCACCTTTAACAGAAAGGTTTAGCTTTGACCTTGGCACGTGAGGAGGGGAGAAGTGCAATAGACCCCCCCCCCCCATTGTCTTAGTGTTATGAACATTAGGAGGTCACTGTGCTGCTTTCAGACAGGATGCAGGTGGGTGAAACTGGACCACATGCTGCTCTGGCCACCTGGAGGTTCCCAGGGTGCTGGTGTACAGCAGGATGATGGGCAGGAATGCACAAGCAAAGCCCTTTCTCTGTTCTCCGTAAGTTTTGAGGATCTCACATTCCTCTTGACTTTATGGCTGCCTGAAGTGTGGACACAGCATCAATCTTTTGTCACCTGGCCATTTTATGAGTGCTTAACCCACCCTGCAGCCCATTCTTTTCAGTACTAATTTTATAAGAATTCAGGCTTTTTCACTTCATACAGTTTAGTGAGCTCAGTAAATGACCCTAAAAATGAACAGGAAGAAAACCCCAAGCTGTGTGAAGCAGGAATTAAATATAACAGGGTTTTAAGTGATGGGGGAGAAAATGTCATTAGGCACAGGTAATTTGGCTTTGTGAATCAAATGATGTTGAGAATGTTTAATGAGCAAGTGCTGAGACAATAAGAGCTAATGAACTGACTAACCTGCTGCTTTCAGTAGGATGACATTCAAGCAAACAAAAGTGAAAATCTGTAATGGGAGTGTCTTACATGTCTCTCACTCACTGCTGGGCTATTTTTAACTTCAGACTACAATTATTAGCTTCAGGAACCCAGCATTATGTTGTAACAAGTGATATCTTAAAATGTTTTTACAAAGCCTTTTATTAAGGTTCAAAGTCATTGAAGCCGAGTTCAAGGAGCTGTTACTTTTTCTGTAATTTAGGTGAGGTTCAACTCTGTTAAAATAATCTGGATTTGAACTGCAAGAATTACAGCTAATAGACTTTAGTCACTTAATGCAAGTTTTCTGGGAAGCATGTGTTTCTTGCCAGGTTCTGCACATCACTGCCTGCCAGTCTATAGGCCTTCAGGCTTATTTTACTTCTTTCTCCCCTTGCTTTTTGCTGCATAAGTTTTCTAGGGTGGATACTACATGTGCTGACATCCTTTTGAAAGTCATTCCTTACTTAGGGCTTGTGTTCACTACACAAGTTATGTTTGCTCCAATGCTCTCAGGACAGCCTCTCCTGGGCAGGTTTGAGTGAAAGATCACACTTCAGAGTAACTCCTGGCTTTCAGAACGTGTCTGCAGGGTCTCCTGCAGGCAAACCTGTGATGGCTCTGCCTGTGCCCAGCTGCCTGGCAGTGGCAGCTGAATCATTCTGCCAGCAGCACAGCTGGTTTAAAAGTCTGCTGTCCCCCTCAGCTGTGCTGGTTTGACTGCTCAGTGATGGCTCTATAGCCTGGTTCTGTGATGTGCACTGGCTGATAGTAGAGCTCCATCCTGGTACTCCTAAATTAGTCCATGTGCCTGTACTGTGGGCTCAGGGCTGACAATAGCTTCCCACGGCCTATCAGTAGTTGAAGCATCAGCAACACTCCAGCTTTAGTACAATTTTTTCCTGCTACTGAAAAGAGACTTTCTGAAACATCACTAATTTAAGGCTGAGGCCATTCATGTGTAGGAAGAGATCACACTGGGAGTAAAATGTGAGTTTAATTCAGAGTTTAACCATGCAGGAGGATGTGCCATTCAGCTAATAGTCCCGAAACAAGCTTCCCACAACAATGGATTCTGAATTGCTCTGTCCTTCTGAGTAGCCAGTTATGCCTGTGAAAAGCAACAAAACTGTTGTCTGCCTTGTGGAGAAGCTACCTAGCAGCACTGCTCTTGGCTTTGCTCAGGTGCAATACCTGGAATATTGCATCATAGGAACTTGTCATATTCATCTGGGACAGCACACAGAGCTTTGAGAAAATGGTGTCAAACTTCTGATGTTAAGTAACCATTGGTGGTATTTACATCTGATTCAAATTGGTTATGATGAATAGAAACATGTATAGGTTTTACATGTCCTTAATGTGCAACACTTCATGCTAGACTTTAATTCATGTGAATGATCTCTTAAAGTTTGCTTCTCCAGTCATAAATTAAAAATCCCATGCAAATGAGTTTGGTTGTGCTCTAATGCTACAAGCAGGTTGTTGTTGAGAGAGGCTCCAAATGAATGTTTATATGGTAGAGAATAACAGCTACTATTGCAAATTAATTACTGCTTTGCCTGACACTTCAGCAATGCCTTCAGCATGAAAATTCAATGCAGCTTAATAGTGGATTTCTGAAACTAAATGGTTAGACTTGTCACCCCAGGATGCCATTTAAGTGAGATACTCACTTGAGGTTCATGGAGGTGATGAAGCAGAAAATAAGAGAGGAAAGGTGCTAAACTACTAGCTGTGGTCTGTACTTATTTATAATTTTTATTTTACTTTTCATTTTAAAGCAAGATAAGAGTGTGCATTCAAGAGCAAACTTTATTCATGTCCATTACTGATGTTTATCTAAAATATTTCTAGTTCTTTATATGTTGTATATTTAGTTGTGATAATACACAACCTAGCAACACTGCAATACATTTACTGACATTGCTCCTCAAAAAGCTTCCCTTGTCATTATCCCTTGCAGAGTACTTGATTTCACATGCTGTGTAACTTTCTACTGTTGTGCTGATCTAAAATGGTTTCAATTAATGGCCTCTCAGGACCTCTCTTCAGTTATAAATTCACAAAAGCAACAGCAAAAGAGTAAAAAATAATAGCTGTTAGTAAATTATATTAACAAAAAAAAAAGCTTTTTTTATGGTACAAAATGCAATTAAATATTTTTTAGCCATCTTTGGGCATTTAGGAACAACATTTAAGTTCAAGAGTGACAGATTTAAGTTCAGAGCTCTAGACATATGAACAACTCTGGCAGTTGCTGCTGTACAGGTGAGTTAACTTCCTAAGACACTTTTTTAGAGTGTAAATGGAACTTTGAGTGGTGTTACAGGGACTGTGTGTTCACACAGGAGAATGTGTAATACGGACTATATAGTATATTCCATCAGCTTCACATAACCCAGGTGGATAATGAGATGGTACCTCCACAGAAAAAAGTCACCAAGATTTTCCTGTGTCTGAGAAGCAAATAATTAAGCTCTTTAATTACTTTCAGCATTAAGATGCCAGTTGTGTCACCTGAGCTTACATCAAATAATCACAGGAGGCAAGGGGAAAGGCCTTCAAATTGGAACTGTTCCAGGCAGAATAATAATACTAACATTCTGCCCTGACAACAGCTTTCTAAAGCCGATACAACACTTTCTGTACAGTTCCACTGGTGTCAGTGGGGCTCCTGGCCTGTTAGGAACCTGCTCGGTGTGGCCCCAACACACACCATCTGAACTTAGTCACACTTTATTTGTTCATTGTTTTTTCTGCTACCTGCAGATGCCTGGTGTATAAGGTTAATCAGTGAGAGGGCTGCTCCTCTCACAAAGGTGGAACAGGCACCCCCACTGTGATCTGGCTTGCTTTGGAGACTCTGTATTGAAGAGGGAGCCCCAGGGTAGAGTCTGGCAGAAGGATGCCCTCAGGAAACAGTTTGACTGACAGTGCTACTACGAAATAACATTAAAACACCATTACCCAGGAAATAACATTAAAACATCATTACCTGTGAAAACTTTTGTTGCATTAAGTGAGAGGCAGTGATTTTCTTTGCTTGGAAAGGAACCTTAGCACAACTGGCTATTTTACAATAGTCCAATATATTTACTGGTATTCTTTTATCTGTATGGTATTAAGCTGATCTTTGTTTTATTTTTCTTCTTCCTCTTCTCCTTCTACCCAGGATGAAAAGAATCAAGTATTAACAACAAATATCTGGCTGCAAATGGTAAGTTTTGAAACAAAGTATGTTTTTTCCTCTGATATTTGAGTTTAATCTGGTAAGAGGTTTGAATTTTAGAAAACTGTCAGGCTTTTGTTCTATATCTTGCTGCACAGTGGACAAAGCTAAACTGAATGGCAAACTATAAGGCTGAGCTTTAGGTCTAGATGTTTCAGGTGTTTCTGAAAACTTTAAAGAATTTGAGACACTACATCTAAATAAGTTATGAACTCATTGTAGTTGATTTAGTCACACTAAAGTCTTCATTGTCATAGGGTAATGGTGACCTGAGAGTCCCAGGCTGAGCAACTGCAGGTACAAGTGCCTTTCACTCATTTCAACAAAGCCATTATGTTGTGGTAAATCACTTGATTGTGAAAGAGAACACGCAAGAAATGCATTTCATCTGCAGTAGCTGCTCTGACCAGCACTCTGAAAATTGTCAGCTGATTCTTATGATTTGGGGAAAAATGGTTCCAAAAAGGTTCATCATCCCTGGGAGCTCCTGCCACTGTCCTAATGAGTGTCTCTGCCCTCCTTCTTGCTTTGTTGACTGTCTCCTTAAGAAACTGCAAGAGGATTTTTATTAAAGTGGCCATGCTATTCCCACATTTTTCAAAATGTTGTTTAAACATAGGTCATCATCAGAAGTTAACTGAATATTATAAGTTTTCATGTTACTTCTCCAAATTCTCTATCTCAGTTCCATGACTAAAATGGGATCTGGAACATCAGTTTCTTAATGTTCCGCTGGTTTCCCAGCTTGTTTTGCACACCTAGGGTGTTCATTTTTCAAACAGTGGCTTTATTTTACCTTTTTGTTGCAATTCTTAGTTACTATAAATTGTCACCGATTTTCATATGCTCTCTTACTACTTACCCCTATCTATTGCTACTCATGGCATTGCTGAACAGTAGTTAATTTTCACTCACTTGTTAATAAATGGAACAAATAATAGGCTATTCAAGAATTTTGTGAGGTTATTTTGAAATTCTTTTCTCTGGAAGGTTAAATTATCCCTTAGACTCAAGATGCTTCTTAACTTGCTGACTCCATTTCTACCATAACTTTGTGCTCTGCAGAGACAGAGTGATATGGGGAGCTTTCTCCATCTGTGGCAGTCAGGATGAGAATTTGCCATTAGTTAAATCCCTGTCACTGTTTGGGTTAAGTAAAGGTTTACAGAAGGTTTTTATTATTCCAGGCAATCTCACTGCTTCTGCAGAAACTTTACACCTTTCTGTTTCTTTAACCAGCTCAGTCAGTTTAAGTGTATTATTTTTTCTTTTATCATAATATTTTATATAGGGCACCTCTCTTGCACTGTGGTAGGCCTTAGGAAACAAGTGAGTGATATATATATATATATATATATATGTGTATCACTGCTGACCTATAAAGGTTAGCATGGCTGTTCCATTTATTCACAAAGAAAATTTGACATGGAAGAAGCATTCAACTCATGGGGTTTTTTACAGGCCTGTTGTACAGTAAGATTAAAACTGTCAAATATAAAATGTTTTTGGCTTTGAGCTACAATGACTATAGTTGCTATGATTTCTTACCAGGAAAACAGACAACAATTCATACTCAAAAAGCTATCATTTATTTTCCTTCTCTTTTATCCCACAGCATCCTTATCCTTTTTGAGATTGGTTTTTTTTTCCCCCTAAGGAAATTCTTGATTATTTTATACATTCTCCATTTCTTTTGGTTTATTCACCTTAGCACATACTGAATATGGAACGTGTTAAGACTGCAATGAGAAGACCACTTGGTTACTGCAAAAAATGAAGCCACTGTTCTTGGCCTGTGTACACGTAAAAAGAAAAAATGTTTGCTTATTAGTTGTCTATTAATGGTGTACTAGACAAATTCAAAGCATGTTTAAAGTAAATATATGTTATTTTACTGTTCTCTGAAATAAGTAAAAATGTAAAAGTGCATGTAAAATTTATGAAAAAAATTAGAAGTAGTTACTGTGTGAATTAGAAGAGCAATTTAATCCCAAATTGGCACCTGAGACAGCATGAACAGTAAAACACAAGCACACCCCAGATCTTGTATAGACTGTTATGTGCACTGCAGTGGGAACTGGAAATGAGGTTGTTACCTGTTCCACTGAACTGTTCATGGCCTAATTTCCCCTTGCAAAAACATTTCACTGCCTGAAGTAAACAGAACCAAGAGAACACCTATTGTTTTAGTCTATCCAGTCCCTAGAGAACTACAGTGAACCAGTGGATGAGATGACTTAACCTACTTTTTGTGTGTATGGCTCAGTACTGGACAGATCATTATCTACAGTGGAATGTGTCTGAATACCCAGGAGTGAAGAATGTTCGTTTTCCGGATGGACTGATTTGGAAGCCCGATATTCTTCTCTATAACAGGTAGACACACTTTTTTTCCTTTTTTTTTTTTTTTATGGGAAAGGAGAGAAAATCATAGAATCATAGCATCACAGAGTATCCCAGGTTAGAAGGGACCTTGAAAGCTCAACTCCAACCTTTCTTGGGAAAGGGAGCCTAGATGAGGTTATGTAGCACTGTCAAGTCCCAAAGACAAGCCAAGGCAAATGACATCATAATCTTAGCAAAATGTCTAAGTTTTTACATACTTTTCCAAAACTCCAGGTTTTTTGAATACTAGAATATCAGTCTCCTGTTTACAGAACAGAAGGTCATTTTTGCAAATACTTCATAAATAACAATATCATCCCTACCACCAACTATAGCTGGTTGGCTTTTGTGAGATGATAAGAAAAGCAGACTTTTCTGGCTGTGTTGAATAGTTTACAAGTAGTGATAATTTTCTCTGAAACTGTTTGGTCTAAATGCTTACTAGTGAATTGAAATCTGACATTTGCATACTTGTCTAGTTTTAGTTTGGGTTTCACTAGAGACAGGACAGGTAAAACCAGTCTTTGCGTTTTCCCACGTCCAGTTTTGGTCTCGTTCTTCCTGCTGTAAAAATAGCTGGGAGATTTGCTGCTACCCTTTTCAAACTGTTCTGACTTGGGCCTATTTCAGGGACACACAGGTTTCCATCAGTCCACTGCAGAACCTTTGGCTGACATTGAGAGTTTCTTTGGCTGCACCATTATATGGTAGTTCCCATTGTGGAATGTATTTAGTTTAACAAGGTAAAGCACTTTATTGCCTGCTCATCAATAACGTGCCTTTTTCTGCAGATGTTGGGGCCTTTGTGCTGTTCCCCAGGAACTGGAAAGAACTTCCATCTACTCTGTACATGTTGCACTGGCTCTACCATGGCAGCCAGCGTACATTGTGGGTTTTTTGCCTATGCAGGTGACATGAACCTTTTGTCTTCCTGATGGCTTTTATCCCTCTGTTTCTCTGCCATATGTCTACTAAGAACACACCATGCTGTGTGTTATCAGTATGACTACCCCTTCCCACCTCAGGAGTTGCTTTTTGTTGTAACAAGACTTAGAGAATAGCTGCAGCTAATATGTCAGCTGCAGTTGTGCTCTCTTTTGGTGACCACCTTTATGAGCAATGTCACTGTAACAGGTGTTGTTGGGTTGTAATAATGGGATAACAGCTCCCAGTGGCAGCATTTGTCAGCCCCTTGGGGACTTCTCTGCAGGGCCTGAATTCCTGCTGTGTTCCCAAGCAGCTGCTGTACTTCTCCCAGAGGTACCCCTGACACTAAAGGATTTGGAGTGATCTCCAGTAGAGTTCACCATCCTGAGGGTAACTGCCTGGCAGATTTACTTCTTGGTTCTGGTTTAAGCATAGTAATGAATGCTTCAGTTGTCCACAAACCAGCCTAAAAAAACCTTTCAAATGTTCTATGCACAAAATGGAGCAGCCTCACACCCAGGACAGGTGTTTTTTGCAACATTAATGTTGTTTAATGTATTTTTCAATGCAAATTTGTTTTCTTGAGGGGTTTTCCCTCAATGGCAGTGTTCCTGGGAGAATCTGACAAATCACACCTTCATTTCCATTCTCCTGCTGAATAACACACTGTATATGCCATAAAATTGGTACTCTACAACAGCAGTTTAGAGTTTCCCAAAAGACTGAGTCATGACAATATTGTTCTTCGCATATATAACAAACCTGAGGGAGACATTCAGTGTGCCTGAGAATTTAGGCTACAGTATTTAAGTAAGTATATCCAAAATGAAAGGGTAGTATTTTAGAAATTAGTAATATTGATATATACGTACTAACTGTAGCTGAAGTGCTTTATAGAATGAGAAGGGTGACAATAACCTGAAAAGCTGAAAACAATTTTTCTGTTAATATAGGTTTTCAAATCCTTGGGTTGTTAACTATGGCACAGTCATGAACTAATTATTCTACAGTGTTTCTATTTCAAACTCGTATTTAATCCAAAATTCTTATTCAGAGTTTAGTCAGAAAGCAAAGCTATTTAAAACAAATTCTTATTCCTGTATGAAATTATGTTGAGAATATGTTGTCTTATAGTGACAGGCCATTTTGAGATAGATGCTTTCAACTTCTATATGCTTCACTAGGGACATGCATCTGCAATTACAAAGAAATTAATGAACTATAAATTGACTTTCCATTTTAATGAATGCATGTTTCACTATGTCTTGAATCTGTACACATCTTGCTGCAGCCCAGTACAGAGAAACTGTGGCAGCTGTATTAAATTTTACAACCAGTCTATTGTGAAGAGAGCAGGGCCAGTTCATCTCTAATTTTTCTGAGGGAAGAAAATCTTGGCCTGTGTACAAATTCCAGGATTGACTGTGTTAATGTCATGCATGGCTTTCTTCCACTTTTTACTAGATTTATTAAAAGTGCTCATTTCTGGTGGAATTATTTTCCAAATGGCCACACAGTGTTTAGTACTTCACGGAATAACAAGAACTGTGGTAGTTATGTCTCATTTTAACAGTTTCATTTTTCCAGTTTTATAAACCTGAGGTTCTCCGGATAGGTCCCAATGGGATTCTGTATGCTAGGTACAGCTTTGCCATCTCAATGTGCTGCAATCAATATCTGCTTTCAAGTCATTATACCCTGAAGAAGAAGTGTAGCAGGAATAGTTTTCTATCATCACATTTCAGTCCAAAGTCTCATCAAGCAAAGGCTCAGCCACTTGGTGCATTCCCAGTTGAAGCAGTGCACTTCGTAAAACAAGCAGAAATATGACATAGAAAAACACAGATTCTTCTTTTTCAGAAAAAATAAGTGCATGTTTGAATCTGAGTACCACTGGATATTCTTTTAAGAATGTCTCTTATGAAAGCCAAAGTCATGTGGCAATGAAAATTAAGCTGCTTGATCAACTTTCAGAAGTTTCTTTTAAAAATTCTATTTTTGCCAGTTACCAGAAACAGCAGCAAGGTCTTAGAAGCAACTCCCTGGTGCTTGACTGCCCTCTGCTCCAGAGGAACACAAGAGAATCTAGTCTAGGAGTCATTACCTTCCGCTTTCCAAGCGATTTGTATGGCATGGATATTTTCACATCCTGAATTTGGCTATTTGAGTTCCATCATATAGCCTTTATTAATTTCAAATCAAAGCAATTATTCATCTAATATAGAACCTTGATGGAGGACTCTGGTTTCCTGAGGAAATGAGTCTTCAGCACATGTGTGTGTGCACACCTATCAACATATGTGTTTGTGTATGATCTTGTTGTCCCCTTCCCCAAGATCCCCTGAATCCATTTCTACCAAACTTGGCAGTGCAACGAGTAGAGATCTTTGCAGTACCAGTTTCTTACAAATAACACAAAAGCAAGAAGCCAAAATGTGGAGGGAAAACAATTAGAGCTCCAACTGGAAGAGAAACTGCAACATAAAGCCAGAGAATGCAGCCATGAGCTGTGGAGCTGAAGGAGTGGCTCACACTGGTTCAGCTACCTCAGAGCTGAACTGCCCTCTCCCCTCAATGTGCTAGAATCCAGTCATGATACAGTCACAATATTTACACTTCTCTTCTTGCCTTTAAAATTCAAATGAAATAGTTGCAAATATTTTCAGCACTTGTGAGCCTTCTGCTCACCACAGGAAAAAGTGCAATTCCCTATAGGCAAGTAATTATCTGGATTTAGCTTTTTCTTGTCTGCATATTTCACAGACCAGTTCAGACATATTTTAAAATCTAATTTCTTCAAATATGTGAGGGGAAAATAAAATGCAAATTAAAAATGTCTAAAATAACAATTGCTTTATTTTAGGTTCTGAGATATAAAATTTGTATCAGAATAGATTAAATATTAAAGTCTTCTTAAAAAAAAAAAATTTCAATCAGGGTTTTCCTGCTGGGAAAAAAACCCAACTTTTAATACACTTTGTTTTCTGCTAGAATGAAGAATATTTCACTTTATCCTCATCTCAGATTTTTACTGTATTTTTACAATGATGTCTTAAAAGGTGATTAGAAAATTTTGAGGTACTGAATCACTAATAGGCAAAGAGACATCAGAGACCTGTCGTGCTCCAATCAGCCTTGAGAGACACAGGATTTTAGATCAAGAGAAGCCCAGGCTGCTGCAAGAACCAGACTGAGCATTGTGTGACCTCCTGTGCCCTGCCCAGCACGGCTGGTACTGCATTTGCTTTTTGTGCCAACCCCCAAGGTGGCTGTTTGGAACCTACAAACAGCACAACAAAGCACAGTAGCCTGCATGTCTCATTTTGCTTGTTCTTTGCTCAAATAAGAGCCTGAGAAAGGAGCCTTTGTCTATAATCAGGGCCAGCAGACATCAGAGGTGAATTCAACACAGCAGTTCCTGAAACAATTCTGATATGCTATTCACTGCCAGTGCCATTCCTGACACCATTCACTGCTGGTAGCTTCCCAACACATTGTGTGCAATTTAATCCAGGCACCAATTTCAGTAACTCTGACCATTTCTTGAATACCCAGGTCCTGGGATTTAAGGAATGTACAGATCAGAATCTCCAACACCTTACTGCAAAACCCCCCATTAGTAAATGGGAACTGTGAACTAAGGCATAACACTATAATGGGTGTATGTACATTGCAAAAGCAAAAGTAAAAAGTAATTTAAACATGTCTAGGAAAGGTTTCTAGAGTAAAGTCATCAAACTTACTAAGCTTTTCATAAGAAAGAGTCTTTATTTCATCATCTAAATATTTGAAAAGAACTTGTTTCCCATACAGAATTTCTTAAAATGTTAATGCCTAGTAAATTCACGGAACATTGTGCCAGAAGGAGTTGAGATATTCCTTGGCAGTAGCTGCCAATTCATCATTTGGAGCATTCCCCAAGTAACATTATGATTCTTTTCTAGAGAATTGTAAGACCAGGACACCAGGGTGATCCTGGCCAGCACCACCACACTGACACCTCTAATAGGACCTCTCTTTCCTTGTTTTCTGAACCCAGTTTGTGGGTTCTGAGGTAGGTAATGAAGGCTGGAGCTGCATTAAAGAGTCTTGTGTATGACATGTAGGAATAATATTCACCCATACAAAGAGGTTGGAAGGCACAGATGCTGGAGGATCCATCTCCCCAGTATTCAGCAGCTGCTGCTGATGTAAACAGCAAGAGAACAAAGTTACCTGTACAAATGCTTGAGAGGTTTTTAAAAGTGCTTACTTTCCAAATGGAAATCATTTGAGCCACGACACTGTAATGAATCTGGTGGGACAGGTAAGCAGCAGGAATGAGGTGGCTCCACCTTCACTTAGAGTTGATAATCAGGAACATACCCAACAGTATCAGGCCAGTTACACTGAGGCCACAGAAAACCGGTGACAGGAGAAAAGCTGTCAAGTCTTGGGGGTGAAATAATCCTTTTATGAAGAACAGATTCATCTCAGATATTCTTCAGCCACTCAAAGAGCATATAACCCATTTTGTTTCTTCCCTATTCTAGTGCTGATGAAAGATTTGATGCTACTTTTCACACCAATGTTCTAGTGAATTCTTCAGGCCATTGCCAGTACCTGCCACCAGGTAAGCTGTTTGCATGTCACAAATGTTGATAACTCAGACTATTTGTGTATGGTGTGGTTTCAAATTTGACATCAATTCTCTGATATTTTATTTTTCTGGTTAGCCGCATTTGATAGACTGAAGTCTAGGTGCATTATGAGTTACATCTTTACATCTTTGCAGGAAAACCACCACAAAGATACATGTTTTATTACAATTATGTAAATTATTCTGCCATAATGCACAATTTCAGAAGTTTGGAAGTATTAAAAAAGATAAAAAATAAAAGTCCTTACTATAAAAAGATATTTTTTATTAAAGCTATGGTAATGCCTCTTAATAAAAATTTATTTAATTAATGTAGTGTTTCTTTTATTAATATGTTGATTTTACAGTTAGATACTTTGTAATATCTTGGATGTATTTCTATTTGAAATGATTCACTGGATGCTTCATCAACACAATTTTTAGTCTGAGAGGAAAGTAGGCTGTGTTTGATATTTATTTGATATATGACTGACTCTGGATATATATCAGTGGAGTTTCTGTTCCTCAACTCATTTAGCACAATTATTAGAATTAACTCTTCTCAGAATCTGAATTTTGGAAACTGCAGCAGTAGAGCCAAGTGCTTTCCAGATAAATTAGTTTTTCCACCTAAGATCCCAAGAGGATTTCAGGGGTTTGCCTGTTGTTCTTTTGATTTAAGATGTTCCATTTGGTGGAGGTTTTTCAATTCAATTCTGAAAGCTGCTAAAGGACAGGGCCTGACTCAACAAGTGAAAAATAAGAAGCTAGCTTGCCTGAGTAAATCAAGGTCATAGAAATCTAATAAGACAGCAAATAATATTTCAGGATTTCTTATATTTCAGGATTTCTTACTTTAGTCAGTAAAAGAAATAGAAACAGATTACATATTCTGCTTCATTTCTTTTGAAATACAGGATCTAGAAATCTAAGCTCTTCTATAAATATTCTCCCACTATGTGCCTAAATGGAAAAAATGATTAAGAAATTGTTTGTAACATCAATAGATTAATGGTACAGTTCTTTCCCTTTTCTGTGACTGACTTTTGCTCTTTAGATGTCAAGACATGACTGAGATTAAATGTGCTTTACGAGTGAAAAACAGAAGGCGTGACGGAAAACAAGTTCTGGTTAAAAAAGTACATGAAATTCTGTGGAACAAGCATTTCAATTCAGTGTTCTTGTTTCAAATCCCATCCAGGCATATTTAAAAGTTCCTGCTACATAGATGTGCGCTGGTTTCCATTTGATGTTCAGAAATGTAACCTGAAGTTTGGATCCTGGACCTACGGAGGCTGGTCCTTGGACTTACAAATGCAAGAAGCAGATATATCTGGCTATATTTCAAATGGGGAGTGGGATTTAGTAGGTAAGCTCTGGATTTCTTATTTAAACTGTGACCTTGCAGCCTTGTCCCTGCTGATGAAATAGATGGAATAACAATCGTGAAATGAAGACAGAAATTAAAATAATTAAATGATCTAGCTAGTGGCATTGGAAACTGTGACAACAGGTGTGAGATGCAAATCAGTGTAAAAAAATAGATGGCAGATTTGCTGCTTGAGTTCTGTAAGTATCTTTTATCTGATTTTCCATCATGATCTGAGAAAAAAATTACTTAATTGGGAATTAAGCTTAAAGAAGTAGTTTTGTCTGTGGTAAACCTTAGAAAGCTACATTTATCCTTTAAAAAAAAGTAATTGCTACATAATACACAGTTTACTCACATTAATTTCTGGTTTTCCTCTTTCCTCTTACACAGGAGTTCCTGGGAAGAGGACTGAGAGCTTTTATGAGTGTTGTAAAGAACCCTACCCAGATGTGACATTCACAGTAACCATGAGACGTAGGACTCTTTACTACGGACTCAATCTCCTTATTCCTTGTGTACTGATATCAGCGCTTGCTTTGTTAGTTTTCCTGCTTCCAGCAGACTCAGGAGAAAAGATCTCACTAGGTAAATTATTAATAGGATATTGTAAATATGAGTAAACCAAAAGAAGTTGTCCTTTTAAAAATTGTTTTCAACAGTCTTAGTAAGCAGGAGGAGTAGCCTATGGGTCCTGTTCTGGCTCATGAGCTATTTTTACTGTTTGATGCTGAACCAACAGAAGCACAAACAATTCCTGACTACTCTCCTTAAGAAGCAGGGGTTTTATTTTTTGACATATATTTGATGAATAAAAATCTCAAATTCATTAAGTAAAGCTTAAGTTTACAAATATGCATCTGAACACTTTAACATGGAATTCTTCTCAATATTTCCTTTTAATACTAAGTTGTAGTAAGAGCCTATGGTGCCTTCTCAGAAAGATTGATTCTAACTGCTCCTAATTTACTTTTTACAGCAAATTTTAACTGAAGTATTGGTTTGTGAAACAAATCTGATTTTGAGTGTTTGATCTTTAAGATGGAGGTTAAATATGTAAAGAAACCTTTTGTCCCATACAAAAATTCAGATGCACTGGAACCTGTTCAAAGGTAGAAACAAAACTGGTATCTCTCCAGAATGAGTAATAGCCTCCCTCATCAAGTAGTAGCCTTCCTAATCAAGTAGTCCCTCCCAATATTTTAAGATGAATTCTTTGTTCCTAAATCTTTCCCAGCTGGCAATGACTCCTGATTGTGTAAGACTAGTCCTGAGAAAACAGTTAAGCCTTGTTCCAGAAAGATGGGAGCTCATCACTGAGCAATAGAAGTCAAACTCCAAAAATCAACAGTCAAGAGTGCTTGGGCATAGCTCCCTGCAGAACCCAACAGCTGATATCAGAAGATATCAAAGTCTATCCAAGACAGCAAATCTGCTTTTCAGGAAATTTATGCATTACACCACCTGTAGCTTCCATGACAATTAATCAAGTGTCACATGCTCAAACACTCCAAATCACACCGTGTTTCTAAAGCAAACATGGTACAAGAATGTCTTTGATTTACCCCAGCTAATTAGCAAATGTTCACAAAAGTTGAACAGTTACAAGGATCTAAAAATACCTATGTCTGTGCAAGCTTTGGTACTACTTTGGCAGCACTGCTACCCTGAGCCTGAGGTGGTACAAAAGGTACAGGAGCACCACTAACATGCTGATGCAGGGGTACAGAGGGATTGATTGATCCTGCAAAGAGCACTCCTTCAGATTCATTTTGTTTGTCTCTGTGTTGTAGTTACAAGCCTCTGATATAATTTCATACCTCATGTTTATCTTGCAGGTATCACGGTTTTATTGTCTCTCACTGTCTTCATGCTGCTTGTGGCTGAAATTATGCCAGCAACGTCTGACTCCGTGCCCTTAATTGGTGAGCTTTGATTCGCTTAGGGATTTTTGTCAAACACGGTGCAGTGACTGGCCCAAAGACCAATCACCACTGGTACAGTGCATCACTGCAGTTGAATTAGAAAAATGCTGCCAGCTGACAAGAGACTCTGATGCTGCTCTCTGCTCTGAGTGAAGCAGAGAACCTATGTGTATTTGGGAAAAGCATAAGGCAGTCAATTTTCCATGGAAGATGTTGTTGCAATTTTGACAGAATTCATGAGATTATTCTCTGTATTCCTAATTCCAATTAGAGCTAAACATAATGGCATCTTCCCCTTGTAATTGTTCAAACATAAAGTACTAGCCAGTCTCTATAATACTGGTGAAAGAAAATTAGAAGACAAATTTTTCAAGGTTGCTTAGAAGAGGCAGGTGCTCAGTTCCGCAGAAACAATTGCTAAACATTGGCTCAAATTAATGACTGATCTTTCTGCTGTTGAGAAGTCTTTCAAAAGTTCCTAAAGTAGCATGTGCATCAGTACACTGGAAAAAGAGCTAAACACTATGTATGCACGTACATAAACAGGCCTTACAAAAGCTGTAACAGCCAAAGGATGTTGTTATAATTATCTGTTTATTTTGCAGCTCAGTATTTTGCCAGCACTATGATTATTGTTGGTCTTTCTGTGGTTGTCACTGTTATTGTTCTACAATACCACCACCATGATCCAGATGGCGGGAAAATGCCTAAATGGGTAAGGTTTGATTTTCCTTCACTGTCCATTTCATAAATGTTCAGGTAAGGGATGTGATAAAGTAGCTGAGGGTCTGTGATCACTTCTTACTGTTAAAAACATATGAATTCTTCCTAAATATTTTGTTTGGAAAAGTAGTTTCACCAGAAATGAGATGCTTTGTATGGTTGGTTTCTTAGAGTATGTGTGCAAGAGAGAGAATGAATATACCTCCACTTGCTTCTGATATCCTCCAAAACAGCTATAAGTAACTTAGGATTTTGCTAAAACTATTATATATAAGTGAAGGTGATTTTCAAATAAGCTTCAGATATCAGAAGTGAAACAGGGAGAAGAAAAGAGTAAGGTGCTGATGGAGATGATAAATGCATGAAATATAGTACCCTCAAGGTGCAACTGCTACATATTTAGCTGCTGTCCCTACAGAAACATCCATATCCTAAAAAGCATTTGTTAAAGATGGCTGGGAAAGGGGAATTGAAACTTGCTCTGAAAATCCTGATCTTTGAATCAAAAACATCTATAAAGTGCAAAGAAGAATTAAAGCATATTTGTAAGCACATAGACAATGTACTTTTTTGAGGGGTTGTTTTTACAGAGAACATTATGCTCATATTGGATTACTACACACTGCTGAGAATCTTCTGCTGACTTCCTCCAGCTCACAGCAGCATCAGGCATTTTTGGAGAAATGGAGAGACCTTTCGCCTTTTTTTCTCTCTAGAACAATGAGTTGTTATTATCCTTACTAGCCAGAAAGCATGTGCATACAGCAGTACCCTGAGGACAAGAGATAATGAGATATTCCCTGGCCTATTTTGGAGTAGTGACTTTAAAATAAATTTCAATGAAGAGAATAAAAGACTTATCTCTTTAGACTCATGTTTGATGACCGAAAGGGAACAAATATTTAGGACTGAGCCAAATGTCCTCAGAAAACAGAGTACTTAAGGTTGAACAGTGAGTTGTTGTGTTGAGAAGCTGAAGACCAACAAACATTATTTGGATACTGGTAGATTTTGGGTCAGGCCTGCAGTTAATGAATATTATCCTTCTTGATGAAACTTGATAGTGTAAAGAGAGTAACGGCAAGATCTGTCTCTGGTTAGGATGATTGTCTGGATATAAAATCTACTCTGAGTAGCAATCCACAGTCAGAATAAATGGACCAAATCTAATTATAGTGTAAAATTGGCATATTATACAAGACAACAATATTTCATTAGCGCTCTGGAAAAGAAATGCTGCAATAAGCCCTTAAAATCTGATTGAAATAAATTATAGAAGCTTTCATCGAAACTGGAACAGTCCCTGGCTTACCTGCACTTTCGGCAAGGCTGGATTAAGGCAATGTGGAAAACAATAGAATAATATGCACTGATTAAGTCTGAAAAGTATTTTTAAAATCAAAGTAATTTTTCCATATTATATCAAGCTCTGTTTTCTAAAATCTGCAATCAACTGTCCTGAATGAAATGTGGAAACAAGAGTCCAAACATTGTGAAGCTTGGTGGGCCAGTCCAGTATAGAATCTGTTTTAGCAGCCCCTTCCAAACATTAATGGCCTGGGAATTTAATATTAGAGCACAAATACAAGTAAAAGAATTGTAAACTTACTGACTACAATTCAAAGTAGTGCTATTATGGTGATTACAAAGTAACTTGTCTTCAATAAATGTTTTCTTTTGCTGAACCCATGGTTTCTAGTAAAGGTGGAAAAGACACCCATACCACTGTCCAAATGCCAGGAAAAATTAACACTATTTGGAGACTATGGAGACTCCTATCAGAGGAGGGGGAAGTCCTAGTGCTGGTAGTCAGTCTGAGGCAATCAACAGCACTGCAAGCTGGCAATCAAACAACGACAGTGCTTGGCAAATTAATCAGCAGGAAAACTGTCACCATTTTGTAGAACTCCTCTTCAGAATAAGCAGAGACCATGGACTAGACAGTCCCCCAGGCTGCACGAACACCATCAGCCCCCAAAGACAGTGGCTGTGTGAAGAGATGTTTATTCTCAAAACTTTTCTTTCAGACAAGGATCATCCTTCTGAACTGGTGTGCTTGGTTCCTGAGGATGAAAAGACCAGGGGAAGAGAAAGTGCGTCCTGCCTGCCAACACAAACAGCGCCGCTGCAGCCTGTCCAGTGTGGAGATGAACACTGTGAGTGGACAGCAATCCAGCAATGGGAACATGCTGTACATTGGGTTTAGGGGGCTGGAAGGGGTTCACTGCACACCTACCACTGATTCAGGTGTAATCTGTGGGAGGATGACCTGCTCACCAACAGATGAAGAAAACCTGCTGCACAGTGGCCACCCCTCTGAAGGTGACCCAGATCTGGCTAAGATTTTGGAGGAGGTCAGGTACATTGCAAACCGATTCAGAGACCAGGATGAAGAGGAAGCCATTTGCAATGAATGGAAGTTTGCAGCCTCTGTAGTGGATCGGCTCTGCTTGATGGCCTTTTCAGTCTTCACAATCATTTGTACAATTGGTATTTTAATGTCAGCACCAAACTTTGTAGAGGCTGTGTCTAAAGATTTTGCTTAACTCCTAACTAGAACTCCTAACTGCTTCTCTGAATGCTATGTAGCAAATAAGAATGTGGGGTTTTTGATTGCTTGTTTCTAATGAGTGTGCTGCTTCTCATTGTCTGCTTTCTTTTGCCCCCCTCACTGATCCTGAGTTCCTTTTGGAAGAGTGGCACCATTTCGCAAGGGAAGCTAAGGATTTCTCTTTGGGCTGCCTGGGCACAGCTCCTTTGAGCCCTCTTTTGTGGAAAATGCAATGGCTGAAAGTCCCTTCAGAATGACAGGGTATCGCACCAACAGCTCTTACACACATTTGAACTGGCTATTACAAAATAAGAGGTAGGCAATGCCACAAATGTCACTTCTTGCAGATTTTATTATAAAAGATAATGTGGTCCATCTTAACTATTTGAATGGGTGACTGTAAACACTGATGTTTAGGAGGGGATTAAATCCACATGGATGCTCAAACAGCAGAGCGAAAGGGGAGAAGTAGTTGTCTTTTTGGTTACTGCTTCTTACTGAGCTGTCATATGTAGCTCTCAGGCTCACTTACAGTCAGTCAGCCTGTACCTCCCTCCATGCACTTTCAATAGAGCATAAATGACTTTCAGAATTCTGAATCAAAAACCTGAAAGTTAAGGGGACACACCATATAACTTGTCCTTCCATATCTTTCTGGATTTGACCTAGAAGAAGTTTGGCCTGAATTCTTAAACAGGCTTCACAGTAATTTGTGCAGTGTTTACTACTTCTTCCTTCTCCCCAGAAAGGCACTCTTTCAACTGATGACCTTTTTAACTATCAGAAAGAAAAATGATTGATTTATGATGCCTTTATCATCACTTGTTTAAAAAAACCCCAACAACTCCCACACTTGCCTCTTTACTGCTAACCAGATTCCAGTGAGGAAAAAGTAACTCAGTGTCTTGTACAGGCTTAAGCATAAGTGAGGAATCTAAAGCAAAGAAGCCAGTAAATCCTGAGATCAATGTTTTCATTTAAAAATTAAATGTTTGATCTGCTGTGTGCCTAGCCTTCTATAGAACTCCTCCTGTTGAGTCACCATAACATTGTTTTTAGAAGAAAACTGCACCTTTTCTGCTCAGTTTATCATCAGATGAGTACTAATGAATAATAAAGCTTTTTGGGTCTGATATAAACTATAAAATGTATAAATATATATTTATATATACATAGCATATACATTCACAGAAAGATTAAGACTTTTAAATATAAATTCTCTTGAGCCTAGAAAGACTTTTGCAAAGGCAAAACTAATAGTTAATCACTTTTTGTTATCTCTGATTCTGAAATTCTCTTGTCAAAATTCTCTTAGTTTTGATGTGACTGATGTCTTAATGAAAAGGACTGAGCTGAAAATACCAGGATCTGAAACTTTGTATGTACAAAATAGCTGAGAATTAGTCCCTTGCTAGCACACCAGTATTCCCAACCAGTGATGTAAGTGGTAAAAGGTGTGGAGGAGGACTACTTTAGCACTGGCTGCTTGCTTTATCCTGCAAAATCCCAGTTTTTTGGCTGAGGTCTTCAGAGACACAGAGGCCTGTTGTACCATTGTTTTACTGTGAAATGAACTCAAGGCCTCAGTTTATCTTCTAAGATGGATTAAAATAAAGTGACTGAGATGCTTATTCTCCCTAGGTAATGATTTCCTTTTCAGAGTCTGCTCCCCTGAAAGCAGGAGAATCGAATTGGATGTAAACCAAGCCTAGAGTCACCACAGGTACAGTCCCTCACCTAAGTGAACACCTTGTGCAAGCACCTTCCTGCCTGAGATAGGGCAGGACGAGTGAAAGGAAGGCAGGATATCTCTCACAGTTTGTGAATTTTGTCCTCCTGAAGGTGCATTAGAATCTTACACTGCAAAGACATGAGCAAAACATTCAACACCTTCTTGAAAGCTCATCCTGAAACCACCATGTCTTAGAGTTACCTATATGTTTTCAGGAACAAGAACTAAGAGCAAGCCATGTAATAATGCCTGCAAGTAGATTCTAGTTTGTAGATTGCATATGAATGGGAAACTTTGAGTCCAAAATCTGAAATGTGAGTTTTGTTCACTTGTGAATAACTACACATATCCCGTGGCACGTGCTGCTCCCCTGAATAATGTTCCTAGGCTGGGATTCCTGGTGTGAATGTTGATTTGCATTGGCAGTTTTCCTTGCTGCAAGTATCCCTAAGTAGCTAAGTAGAGTGTTCCATTTAGTCTTGTAAAGTTTTGGGGTCCTCTTGGACAATAATTTTCTAGAAAGAAATGAAGACTTTTGAGGATTGTCTTGCACAATGGGACACAATTAATGCAATCATGATACATGATGCATGAAATGTAGGAAGCATGAGAGTCCCTCTCTTTCCATCTAAATCCATTTACAGTATCTGTAGAAATCGTCTTGCTAAACACAGGAGGATGGAGAAAGCATAATTTGACAGTAAACTTAATTATCAGTGGCAGACATGCCTGGGCTTAAAAACTGGAGCCTGGTGCTTGACCTTTAGTGAAGTCCTACCAAAGTCTGTAACGCTGAGTCTGTCACACAGTCAGAGAATCCCAGGTGTGAGACAGGAGCAGTGAGACACCAACCTCCACCTCTGCCTCCACCACTGCCTTCACTGTTGGCAGGATTCATGGAAATGCACCAAGGGCTCAAGGGAATCTTCATTCTCCTGCTGTTAACACCACCTGTAAACATTTGGTAGTAAGTTTATTATACATTTTAAATATAACAGTGACAACTCCTCCATTATGTTCTTTTGCACATCTGAGTCCAATTCTCCTGTAACTGAGCTGAGCAAAATGGGTATGGTTTTTGTCAAACTGTGTGTGTCAAATATATTTGTGTATGCTAAACAATATTTTGATCTAAACGCTGTGAAAGAATATTTATTTACAATTTGGGCACAGAGATGGAAATTAAATTCTGTATACAGTATGTGTATATAATATTAAAGACTATATATTGATGGTAAGGACCTGTTATAATCTTAAGAGTCCAGATGATGAGCAAGTGATTCACCACAACTAAGCTATGACTTGCCTGACAAATTCATAAGCTCACTCTAGAGCTCAGCTGTCATGTACAATACTATGTGTGAACAATGTATATTGCTTTTTCTGTTTTTATATTGAATTGTATTGAATATTTAAAAGACTTTTTAATATTTTAAAAAATTTATTTAAGTGTTAATACCAGAAAAGTTCCAAACATAAAATTTAAAAAGTTAGTTTTAAATACAGATAAATTATTTAAACAGTATTTAAAATATTAAATTATTTTATATAGGAATTGATAATACTATGTAAGACTTTTTTTAAAAGGTTTCTTTAAATTCTCTTTACATTCTCAAGCTGCAGGATGTAGTCTCAGTTCACCTGTGATATTTCAACTCTTCAGCCTTTAACAAGGAAAGAAGGTAAACCAAAGCCCTAGATTTTCTTTCCTTTTCTTATAGTCTTTTTTACATTAAGAAACATTGCATAAAGGGCATTAGAAAGAGATGTAACACTTGTCAGGTACTGATTGTCATATAAGCAACTCAATACCTTTTCAGTCCAGTACAAATAAAAGATTTAGATCAAGAGACTTTTGATTCTTTCTCATTTTGCTAAGATGGAAACAAACTCAAGTGGTAGAAAACACGAATAGCCATAAAAGAAAGAAAAATGTCTTTGGATTTACCAGTCTGAGATGACAAAATTCTTTGATAACTAAAACCACATTAATATCCTCCCAGCAAACCAGTCCCACACCAAACATAGATTACTTCAATCTTACATAAGTGATCAAAGTTAAATGAGTAGGTCTGTAATACCATGGCAATTTTGGACTGGCCTCAATGCCAGTATTAATTTACTTTTTGAAGTTTAACACAGAGGAGAGAAACGAGAGAAAAAACAAATCCATAGCAGCTGAATAAATTGTTGGTTTTGCCAGCTGCAAAGTTTACTTCTTGGCTACTGATGAAAAAAATATCTAACCAGCAGAATACCCCGCAGAAGAAAAAAACCCATGTCAGTGCAGTTTTTTGCAGACAGATAATTTGTACTGCCCACATGCTGAGACAGCTTCCCAGCTTTACAACATGAGCATGTGCCAGAAGTAAAGAATCAAGGGTTGTTGAACCCAAGATTTTTTCTCCTCTTGCTTCTCTAAGGTTGTAAGGAACAATTGATGGAGACCAGTTTGGTCAAGGTTAGCACACCAAGTCCTACAGGCATGAAGTTGTTACTGAAGTTCTTTACAGAGAAAGTGATTGGGCACTGGAATGGGCGGAGGAGGAAGAGTCACTGTCCCTGGAGATATTTAAGAAGAGACTGGATAAGGCACTTGGTGCCATGGTCTGGTAGACAAGGTGGTGTTTGGTCATTGGTGGGACTCGATGATCTCCAAGGTCTTTGCCAACCTAACTGATTCTGTTTCTCTGTAATCCTGCCTGTCTTTGGATCAGAGCTGCCATGGGTCAGTGTCAGATACTCAAGAGAGGCTCATGCTGCTCACTCTGCCAACAAGCCCTACCTTCTCTCCTCAAGTGCTGAGAAGCAGGACATGTGCCAGACTTACTGTTAGACTTCAACATGGTCAAACAGGCTTAGCTTAATACACCCCAGGCGCTGTCTGTAGCCCTGCCATCACACACCATCTTGGAAGCCCTTGTGACTGGGTGTCACTGTCTGCTACTGCTCTGGGGCACCTGGATGGCTCATATGCAGACTGAAGGCTGCTATGGTTTAGGAGCTTCCTCCTGAGCAGATCCAATGGCCTGGGGGTGGCAAAGTCCGTCAAAGCACTGGGTGTTGATGCTGTAGGGATTAACAGTATCAGCCATCCAGTTTTAATCCAGCATGAACAATCATACTCGTTTCTTAGCCTAACCTCATATTAAAATATCAATAAATGTCACAAGGCTGTAAACAGAATCTGCACATTGCAGCAAACCTAACGCAGTAATCAAACAGGAACTCAACAGGACAATAACCACAAATTAAAGCCTTCCACTATTATTTTTTTGCTTCTGCTTCTTAAAAAATAACCTTTAAGATTTATGTAACATTTATGCTATTAAGCAATTTGCAGATGATGGCATAGAGACAGAATAAACAACAATCTCACACCCCAGTGAACACATTCAAAACTGCAGTTTATTCACAGAATATGAACATATTCAAGTCTAAAACTTCAAATCAGTTTCTTATCTACACCCTCACTGCACAGATATTGTAAAGGCATCACTAGTAAATCATGGGGCTTTCAGAGCTGCAGTGACTTGTCCCTGTAATGATGCTCTACAGGAATAGTACTTTAAACCTCAAAATAATTTGAACTATCTAGATATTTTCACCTTAAGAAAAACCCCCAGCAAACCCAAAACACAGCAGAAATGTAACAGCTGTGATACACTATAAAGCTACTTTGGAATATGAGTACATGAGAATAACATCCAAAGAGGCAACTAAACAATTCTGGATATAACCCAATGCCTCAGTGCCTGTGTAAGGCAGAGAAATCTTTCTACTGAGTCCAAAATTCTGGGATCAGGACAATATTCAGTCCACCAAACCTCACAGTTATCATTTATGTATTAGTCTGGGTCATGGTAGGCATGCCAATGAATAAGAATAAGCCAGATATTAAATATTTATATTAATTTGGCTTTCGACTTAAGAAAAAAAATCCGCATCCCAGAGCAAGATATCTGCACAACATCCCTCAGACAATATTATCTCTCCTGTACAGAGACTACACACAGCTGTGAGACATTTCCAGAATAACTTTTGTTCCCATAAGTGAATTCCAGTTTGAGGCTGCTTTTTCTGACACAGCATATTCATTGCTCCCTGTTCTTCTTCCAAATTCTGGCCAAGTGAAACCTAATTAGCTCACTGTTTTGATCAGAGAAGATAGTAGGGAGCCAACAGTCAGAAATACTGTGTGAGTTTAATCCTGACTCAGGAGAGACTGTCATCAGAAAGTTTGATGTTGTTGGGCCACATTGTGCCCCAGAAGAAAAATGCTTCAAAGGACTGGTCATGCCCACCCTGCAGTGCACATCAACCTGTCACAGTGCAAGAAGCCTTCACAGATGGCAGCAGTGCAATGGAGGGCAAAGCAGGCTCACTACTTCCACAGTGGGGCACGGGAAGTAAGTTTTTCCAGTTCCTCTGACTGTGCTCTGCATGTGGATCCAATCAGTATATGGTTTAACTGGTTAGTGCTTCGCTCAGCTGGTAAGATAATTATTTCTTTTGGCAAGGTAATAATGTAAGAAACTTGGGAGTTATGGGTTGCAATACACAGCCCACCTGGTCGTTTCTTAAGACTGTCAGACACTGTCTTCAGCTGAACTAACTGAAACCAGGTTAACAATAAGGACAGCAGTTGTAGTTTTCTTCACTAACCACCTTTAAAACCTATTAAAGTTAAACTGCTGCATCTTTCTCTGCAGTCAAGGTTAACATTAATTATCCTGCCTGCAGTTAACAAACTGGTAACATTGCTTAATGGTGCACACTATCCATGTTGTTTATAATTGAAAGTATCTTGCAGTGAAGAGACCAGAAAAAATAACAAGAAGCCAAAGTATTTTACCTTTTAAACTAAACTGTAAGAGATAAAAAAGGCATATGAAGGACTGGCAGAGAATGAAGGGAGGCAGATTTAATATCATCATCGACAGAGAGCTGTGTCATATGGCATCAGTACTATACCTGCCCCACAAAGCCCAGAAAGCCACTAGAGAGTCTCTTTGACCACCAGCAGCTGAGCAACAGGCTGTGCTGTTTGTGCCAGGTGGAGGCTGAGAGGGGGGAAAGTCCACCCGGACTGAGGACAGGGAAGTCACAGGTGGCCTCACTTCAGTTCTAATACACCCATGCCAAGCCTCATTTTTGACACTGCACTCCATTCAATGGCACACGTGGGCACAGGTCTAGAGCTGGGCACAGCCTGAAGCACCTTCATCCCCTTTATCTCAGAGAACTCCTCACTGCCCTATTTCTACGTATACATATAAAGTCTGCTTCTTCAGGGAGACAGGGTTGAAAGAAAGATGTAAACAAACAGTTGCAAAATATTATGAAAAATCTATTCAGAAGATATGTATTTGTTAGCTCAAAACCAACATGGTTTCTGTTGCTAAAAATATCCTGGAATTCATAGCTTTCCAGGAGGTTTTAGTGGCAGTCCAATGCCAGGCTTTTATTGTGCCAGCTGATAATGGAGTGGGGTTGCGACTTCCTTCTTGCTGAAATTCTGCAGCAATCTATGTGGGTCGAATGAGGTATAAGTGAAACCTCCTGCAGGCAGCACAGCTTTTACCCTGAGCTCACTAAAGCCTGGCTTTTAAACACTTTACTGTTCATTTGCACTCATTTAATGGAGTGCTCACTGCTACCAACAGAAGCCAACCTGTAATGAATGGCACTGCAGCCATCTAAGTGTCCAGCTTCACTTCTGATCGACTGGATTCGTGTCTCTTAAATACAATAATAAAAGCCCATTTATTTCTCATGTACTTTTGCTAGTGGAATTGAAAATATCCTGTCTACTTGGAGCAATAAAACCTGCACAGTGCAAACTCTGAGATTTGCATCTCCAGACATTGGCTTTATGATTTTATGCTATAGCAGAGTAAATGACAGATATAGCCCAATATTATATAAAATGCACACCTTCGTTTTGCAGCTTCTGCAAGTTCAAACACTTCTGTCTCTTGCTCCAAAGGCACCAAGAACAGTGGTATCATGTCTTTGCACAGCAGGCATAGTAATAACAGCAACAGAAAGATGGTTTCTCCAAGAGAAACAATGTCAGAACTTTTTGCATAGAACCAGAATTTGTCACCTTTCATACAGACAACTAATTTAGGCCATTTGTGCTCAGACATTTATTCACCATTTCTTTGAGCTATCAGACAGGGTATTTTTCATGTCTCAATTTTCCACTAGCAATTCAGTGTGTTGGGTCCAAGAGCTTTCATTACTGACAATTTTCATACCTGGCCTCCTCTCCAGTGAGAGTGGTGGATGTTTTCTCTTGAACAGAGCTAGTATGGAAACTTTAGTCTTTCCACAATGCCGTGAACTGCATAATTGATTTGGAAAAATGATCTGTATTAGGAGGAAGCATCATGAGGTTACAGGTTCTCCTGAGCTTTTCTCCAGACAGCGGCAGCATTGATTTTCCCATTCACTTGATAAAAAATAAAACATTTCAACAAACTCACCCCTCTTTCATTTACCTGACCCATAGCCATGCTCCAAGACTTGATTACCTTTGGTAGCATGAGTGAATGCAATAGATTGTAGCCCAAAGTGTAATTATCATTCCAGGATTTTTTTAGTTTCAAACTATCCTTTAGTCTAAGTGATGAAATCAGAATAGCTAAAACCCAAGATACTTGAGAGCAGACCAAAGCCAGAAAAATACATGTACTTAAAGAAACTTGTGAAGCAAGATGTATTTTTCAACACAAAAGCAGTAAGGAAAACTATAAGGCAGTAAATTTTCAATTCACACACTGCAGAGGACTCAGTCTGCTGTTCTGTGACAGAGCAGAGCACGAGCTCTTGCTGAGTCAGGAGCTG